AAGAGGAAGAGGAAGAGGAAGAGGAAGAGGAAGAGGAAGAGGAAGAGGAAGAGGAAGAGGAAGAGGAAGAGGAAGAAGAAGAATTCGTGCCCATCATAGACCCACCAGCTTCCGGCCCGCACACGCAGCGACACTGCCGACATATACGGGCGACAACGTCGTTCCGCGCGTCACTCGTAATGTTCGACGACGTGTAAGTTTGCAACGACGACGTGTTTTTACGCAGCCACTCGACGTCGTCGGTTTTGCCGACAAAACCCGCGTCAGCTTGCGCTGCGGTCCGGCCGGCAACGCCACCACGCTGCTGGCAGGCTGGCCGGCTTCAAACAGTTACGAAGTACCTAATTTGCATCGCCGCAAAAATCGAAGTGTCCACGTCAATTGTGCGTGTGTGTGGGGGGGGGCGCGTGTGTGTGTGTGTGTGTGTGTGTGTGTGTGTGTGTGTGTGTGTGTGTGTGTGTGTGTGTGTGTGTGTGTGTGTGTGTGTGTGTGTGTATGTGTGTGGGTAATGGAGGGGGGCATGTACATTTTGAGATTATGTACATATGTACATGTAGTTAGACTTTCTTTTTCATGCTCTCTCGCTGGCAGAGTTGCTTTCATAATAGCCGGACGCCCCTCTTCCTACCTCTCCCTCCCTCCCGCTCCCTCTCTTTCTCTCCCTCTCCCTACCTCTCACTCCCTCTACCCCTCTCGCTCTCTCTCCTCCCTCTCTCTTTTTATCTTTCCCTCTCTCCGCTGTGGTCGCCGTACTGGCTTTTATACTAGCCTGGCGCCCGCTCTCTCCCTCCTCCTCTCTTCCTCATCTCTCCCTCTCTCTCTCTCTCTCCCTCTTTCCCTTCCTCTCCTCCCTCCTCTCTCTCTCGCCATTCTCCCTCTCTCTCCGCTCCTCCTTCCCTCTCGCCTCTCTCCCATCTCCCTCCTCTCTCTCCTCTCTCTCCTCCTCCGGTCCCTCTCTCTCCTCTCTCTCCATCTCCCTCCCCCTCTTTCCCCTCTTCGCTCTCCCTTTCGCTCCTTCTCCCTCCCTCTCCTTCTCTCTTCTTTCTCTCGCTCCCACTTCCTCTCTTTATCTTTTCTTCTCCCCGCCGTGGTTGCCTTGCTGGGACGGCTTTATCAGGAGCTGCGCAGTCCTGATTGAAACGTTAGTTAAACAACGTCGACGATGAGGAACGACAGAAGGCACACAGCGATAAGTCCGGCCTGCTAGTCAGCCCGTCCGAGCAGGCGGGGGAGGACGGAGAGAGGGAGGGAGGGCGAGGAAGGAGAGGGGGAGGAAGGAGAGAGGGAGGAAGGAGAGGGGAAGGAAGGAGAGGGGAGGAAGGAGAGGGGNAGAGAGAGAGAGAGAGAGAGAGAGAGAGAGAGAGAGAGATGGAGAGAGAGAGAGTAAGGGTGATCACATGCTGATCGATGGCTGCTCAGCGGTGCGTGTTAGAGCGTCTGCGGCTATTCGCGATATATCACGGGGTTACACACGCTGCTGCACCCCTGGCTCCTCCCCCGCTCTCGCTCTCTCTGTCTCTCTCTCGCGCGCGCTCTCTCTTTCTCTCTTTCTCTCTCTCGCGCGCGCTCTCTC